GGTTATCTAGTAATGAACTAAAAACATCATAAGATAATTAATATTTCGTGAGTGTAGACAGTGAGTATTTATATTCCTTTTACTCATATAATGTATTCAATGGCTGTCCAAACCGAGATTTGAGAATAAGCTGCTTCGCTGTAAGTCCTGTTGAAAACTTAATGTTAAAGCACTATTATTCGTTAGTCGATGTTTATCTAGTTTTACTAAAATCCAAAAAAATCTACTTCAATCTAATTTGACAGTGAATTAAAACCTAGGACGTTATAGTAAATTGTAAACGATTTAAAATTGCACTTGTTTTTAACTCCGGACCCAGAACATTTAAAAATAAAGAGTAAAATAATAAAAGTATATAATAAATCAACGCTATTAATTCATATTACAGTTAAAACTTGTGTTTAACTGTCTGAAGTATAGGGTTGCCAACTTACAGTTTTTGGGATTCCCCGAATTAAATATTTCAATATTTCAGGTGCAAGAGCTGTCATCGAAACTTCCAGACATCCAACGAGCTGTTTGACCACGAGACCAACGGTGGGCGGACTGAAGGCAAGCTGAACTGCCCGCGCTGCGACGAGCGGTTCCCTACATACCGCGAGCTGGGCCAACACATTGTCACTCATCGAACTGACAAATCACAGTGTGACTATTGCGCTAAAGTGTACGTATTACTACATTTGACCACGTCTTAGTATGGTATATTGAAATGAACTGAACTCATCGATGTGAGTCGATTTCCGTAATATATGTCTAACTCGTAGACCGGTGTTCAAAATTGTCTCTATTGTCGAATAACCTCTAATTTCCTTTTGTTATATTACCGTCAGTATATTATCACTCACTGGCTATTTTTCGATTTAGAATCAATTGAGAATTATATTTCTTTGTAGGTTGAAACATCATCATAGAAAGAAGACAATTAATCACATGGAAGATTTAATACTGTGTTCGCAATGTCTTCGTAATTTACGAAGTATTGAAAAACAAGAAAAAGAATCAGTGAGTATTCAATCATCTATATTTGATTTTTGTATCCTTAGCATTATGACTATGGCCTAATCACCCTTAACTTAGAGTAGGCTCCGAGCCCCTCGGTGGGGACGTATAGTGAGCTGATGATGATGAGCATTATGTTATCTTATGTTCATTTATTTCGTTTAATCATGAACATTAACTTTGATTTGCAGAAAGATAAGGTAAAAATGAAGAGCGGCGATCAAACAAAAGCGGAAAAATATCGTAAATTTTACAAAGCTTTGGAGATTTCTTGCGATGATGACTACTCAACAGAATAACGAGATAGCAAAAATATTCACAAATGTAATATCATGTACTGTGTACCATGACAATGTCAAAAATAAATTATTAAATTATATATTTTATACTATTTAAATAATTGTACTGAACATGAACATCCTGTTATACTATTGACTCTGGGTTAACACATCCTAGTTTTCAGTATATTAAAATTTGTATACTAGTATTTATGTGTGATTTAAGATATGTGTGAAGTCAACCAACCCGCACTTGGCCAGCGTGGTTGACTATGGCCTAATCACCCTTAACTTAGGGTAGGCTCCGAGCCCCTCGGTGGGGACGTATAGTGAGCTGATGATGATGATGATACTAGTATTTTAAGAAATAGATACCACATCTGAATAATCAAATAATAATCGTAGTAAAATAAAAAAAACTGTAAATTCATTCAATTTTATTCTTATAGTTATTTAGAAACATATTCAAAGTCATATTATGGTATTCAAACATATTTTTACAACCCACGAAATGCCTTACAATGTATTATTTTGTATGAACGCATGAGTTGAAAACACACTGTTAAACTAAATACAAGAGTTTTCCTTAATCAATCCTTCGTTTCTTGACAAGGGATCCGAGTAAATCTGAGATGGCAGGTAGGTTGTTTGTTTGATCGTTGGCACCAGTATTGAGATTGGAGAGCGGAATGTTGAGCTGATTGTTGGCAGGCTTCGGCTGGCCCTTTGTGTTCCTGTGCTGCGGGAAGCTTGGCATCAGCTTCGGATCACAAGCTGGAAAACGAATTAGTAGAACTTAGTAAGGATATCAGTTATGATAATTATGAAATAAACCAATCCGCTTAGCAGTAACTTTTGTTTTTTTTTATAACAGAAGGGGGCAAACGAGCAGCGGGAACACAGTAATTTTTAAAACTGCTGATTATCTGTACATTAATTAAGTAGTAATAGTATAATACAGTAGAAATGAATAATTATTACATACCTATCTTAACAATTTTACCATTATAAGGCTTTATTCACAGACTTACTAAAAACAGACATGTCAAATACTAAAATTTACCAAAATAAATCCATAGACAATGTACGTTGTGCGCCAGTGACATGTCTAAATTTAATATCTCATTTCCATTGAATTCGATCATATTTACTTACGCAACGGCTGTTCCTTAAAGTAAGAACTCTGCAGACATTCCTCAGCTGTGGCTCTCTTATTGGGGTCGTACATGAAGAGGAAGTTAAGCAGGCGAAGGCCAGCGGCTGACAACCAGGGGAATCGCTGCTTTAGGTTGTTGTACGGCTGTTGCTTCAGAGTGAAGTTCTGTAACGCTGGCAGCATACTGAACTCTGGCCAAATTGCATCCGATGGAGTTCCTATAATACAATCCATTTGGAAGTTTAATGAAAAATTTAACTTAAACTTTTATAAAACTATTTTCCCTCTAATGTTCTTTAAAAAAAATAAAGACAATGTATTTTAGTATCTACTAGTGTTAGTGCACAAAACTAATGTATATAAGCATAATTGTCACATACTGATTTACATAAGAAACTTACCCAGTAAGTCTACTATAAGCTCCAGTTGTTCGATTTCCGTTCTACCAGATAAAAGTGGTTTGTTTGCCAAGAGTTCACCAAGAATGCATCCCGCAGCCCACATGTCAAGAGCTGGTGTCTGCTTAGGTGACTGCAATAGAAGCTCAGGTGCCCTGTACCATAACGTCACAACGCGGGGCGTAGCACAACGTGCTGGAGCACCCAGCCAACGTGCCAAACCAAAATCAGCTAAAAAAAATGGTGTGGTCATAAAAAATTTGCTTGTTTTTACTGTATTCAATTATGTTTAATCCACATGAACGTTATTTGACCAATCGAAAAAATACTTGCCTATTTTAACACACCCCTTGTCTGTCAGTAGTAAATTGGACACCTTCAAATCTCTGTGCACAATGAAATTGGAGTGCAAATATTTTAGTCCTTTAAGCACTTGCAGCATCAGGCATTTGACTTGAGATTCGGTGAATGGTGAGGTCATGTTATCTAATAATGATGCCAAATCCTGCTCACAATATTCCATTGACAGAAATATGCTGCCAAAATAACAAATAAAAGAAATAATTAAAATCATCATTATTGTAAAGAGGGATTTTCTAAAAAAAAAATATTATAATAGTTCTGCAGCACAATATAATAGATGGCAACCATTGAAAAATAGGCACAACACTATTTTCCTTTAAAAATTAAAAAAAGGTAATCAATAATTTTAGTATTTATAAGGTAATGATACACACCTTTCCAAAGAGCGCCCAACTAGAACCTCTTTTAATTGCACAATGTTCTCATGCCTGCAAGCCATTAGTACTTGTATTTCTCTCAGGCCACTTAGGGGCAATCCATCTTTTTCTACATCCATCCTCACCTTCTTTAAGGCTACAATATTACCATTCAGCTTATCTTTCGCTCTATCTGTAAATTAAGCATATAATATTTAGACAGTATATGAAAAAAAACCTCAATCATGATTAAATTTTGCAGTTGTAACAATGATTTATGAATTGGTTGATGTGAGATTTAAAAAAAACTATAACCCATCCAAATGAACTTGTGACGTGGGCTGATGACATCAATTTTTATGGACAGTGTGCAAAATAACATTTTGTTGAAAGGGATATGGAATAATTAGTGATATAATTTACTTTAGTCTCCCAAATAAATATATCTATTATTTTTACTGAGAGCAAAAGGCCACAGTACAATACCTTGTTAGAGTTGGGATGGGGGTTACATTCCGACAGAAACAAGTTAATATATGTTGCATAGACCTATGCACATATAGAAGAATAATAATAGAGCATTATAAATTGCATGAATTATACTTACAGACAATACCATAAGTGCCTTCTCCTATGCGATTTAATTTTTCAAATTCTCCGACAAATCTGCATCTTCCCAACTAAAGTTTAAGAATGTTTTGTTATCATATCTCTTATTTTCAGCCATCCCCAGAAACGAGTAACTTATTATAACAAATTCCCATTCAATATATCAACATAAATGAAAAAGTAGAATAAAAGAATATTATTCATTTTGGGCCCTTTGATGACAACATATCTTCAAAGGTAGGCTAGTATGAGTGATTTCATTAAGACTGATAACAAAAAAAACAAGTGTAATGCACAATTTAGTCATAAAATTTAGGTTATACCAAAAAAACGTACTATATCTTTTTCAGGTATCTCCATGGTTTTACCAGTCCTGAACGATATAAGAACACCTTTACGGGCAGCTGGACCAGTTGGATCCACAACATCTTGGGTAGGTTTTTCAGAATCTAAAAGTGAAAATTAAAATAAACAATATGCAAAATTTTCACGTTCAATATTTTAAATTTATAACACTTACTTTGTGACATATTTAAACTTGGATTGTATCAAATAGAAACAACTATCTTTTTTAAGAACTTATTATAAAGCTAAGCTCATCAATGTTTTCAATTTTTGTGAATAAAAAAAAATAAACAATAAACCGCCTGATAACTCGATTATAAATCGACCCGGTAAAACCAAAGAGTATGTAACTACTTCGTAGTATAATCATAGACAATGGAAAAAACAAAATTCTGTCTGTTGTCACCAAACGTTTAGATTATCATCGCCATCATCAGCCTTCGTATGCCTAGTGCTGGATATCAGTTTCCCGATGCCTTCCACAGTAGGCGCCTTCCGTCCTTCCATCATTTCTAGACTGTATTTACTTCACCTTTGGATTGACAAGATGACAAACGACATTGACATTCCATATTTTATATGGACAGGCGCACATTTCTGTAATGTTTAAATATAACAATAGTAAAATAATTTAATAAAATATTTAAGATAAATAGATAGATTTATGTATTTACAAAATATGGAGTTTGCCAACAAAGCCCTTAGTGTCGTAGGACGTTTTTGGAGATCGAATATGTAAGCTGCTTTATATAAGAATTTCACATTTATGTAAAGAAATATTGGCTTTGCCGAACTTCTTAAAAACTGTAAAAGAATGAAGAGATTGTTATATTTTCATATTGTTAATTTATAACATAATTTAAAATGAGACTGCCAAAATTATTTAATCCTCGGGTCCAAAAACGGATTTTGTAAGTTTATTCATCTATTTCATGTACTTAGTTATCCATTTGTTATGATTTAATCAATGATTTCCTTACATATTTATGATTTTACTTTTAGAATGAGGTTCGGGGTTTATGATAAAGTCACACCAGTAGAAACAACCCCAAGTAGAATAGTATCTGAGAATATTATAAGACCAGATTATGTATTAGGAAATACAGAATATGTTCCTAAAATAGCTGAAATAAAAAATGATACCCAAATAAATGGTATGAGGGAAAGTTGTAAATTGGCTGCTTCAATTTTAAATCAACTTCATACATTCATCAAAGTAAGTATTATAGTATTTAATGTTAAGTTATAGGTTATTTTTAAAAAAGTTTAACTATATTAGAACTAACCTTCCATCTGTGCAATCCATAGTATCTTTATTGTAATTTTTAGCCAGGTATTACAACAGATGATATTGATGCATTAGTTCATACTTTAACTATTAAAGCCGGTGCCTACCCATCTCCACTGCATTATAAAGGCTTCCCAAAGAGTGTCTGCACTTCAGTGAACAATGTAGCTGTCCATGGCATCCCAGATTTGAGACCTTTACAAGATGGTGACATCATCAATGTAGATATAACAGTAAGGTTAAAAACTTTTACTCTAATTTATTTCTAGTTTCTGATTTATTATAATGTTACAGTAGATTAGTTTATGTTCTTAGTAACATTATTGTTCTTCATATAATTAAAAAGCTATTGTAATATAGAGAAAGTTATGTTTACTTATATTATCTCAAACATTTCAGGTCTTCTTCAAGCAAAATCATGGAGATTGCTCAAAGACCTTCCTCGTTGGGAATGTAGATGATAAAGGACAACAGCTTGTTCATATTACAGAGGAATGTCTAGATATTGTAAGTATTTACATGTAAACATATTTAATACCATTAGAGTAAGTCCTTGCTAAATTCATATTTATTTGTATTGTGTATACATATTCTTTAGAATAGGACCAAATGTTTTAGAACATATTCTCTTGCCTGATCAATAGGATTATAAGTGTACATAATTTCTAATATATATTTATACATTGTAATAAAGTTTTGTCTTTTGGATTTTGTGTAAATATATTTGTTATTTTAGGGAATTAAATGCTGCGGTCCAGATGTACCTTTTTGTCACATTGGCTCTGCTATACACAGGCACGCAAAAAGAAATGGTCTAACTGTATTACCTGCATTTTTAGGGCATGGTATCGGACAATACTTTCATGGTCCTCCTGAAATATACCATTCTTGTAAGTTAGAAAATATTTCTATTATTATTGAATTTCTTTGGCAGTTTGTTAGTAATTATTAGTTATGTTAAAAGAGAACTCAATTCAATTGATTAAAATCCTATCAACTTTATGAATATTGTTCTATTTTACAATGCTCTAGTATTTACTACACTAAAAAAAACTATTTTTCTTAATTTTCTGAAAACCATTCAAGCAATATATTTGATTTTTTTATTCTGCAGTAAATAGATATCCTGGGCTGATGAAGTCAGGTATGACATTCACGATAGAGCCAGTTCTGTCACACGGCAGCGAGAACACAGTTATACTAGAAGACGGTTGGACTGTGGTCACAGAGGATGGTGCACGGACTGCGCAAGTTGAACACACAGTCTTGATCACTGATGATGGTGCTGAGATATTAACTAAGTAAATGTAATCATATGTTTATTAGAATATAAGTGTTATACATAAAAACAATTTTTTTTTTGCAATTTGAAATAATAACAAAAGTCAATTCGCCACATTTTGCTCATAGAAGAGATGTTATACCAAGATATAAGAAGTAAAATGTACAGAGAGCTTTTGGTAATGAGTATGGGCTACCCAATGTTTAGTTATCACCATAGCTACTAGAAATAGTTTTTATCTTTTTTTAATTCTCCAGGAGGCAGTTGCCCTCCTCCCCTTATCTCCACCTGGCAACGCTATGCTAACTAGAACTAAATGCAGCAAATTTTTCATCAATGTCATGTCACCTCTTGACCCATTTATTAAGATTCTTGTAAAGAAAATGAAAAGTATGACGAAATGTTTTTCAACAGGTGTGTAAATAAATGAAAACATCAAATTAGCACATTGTGTTTTATTTGTAGCTTGATAAGATCTTAATTTAAAACATGTAACATTACATTAAAAGCACAAGCATAATAATTATCACTTGTAGCATTCAGTCGATAGATATTTTAAAGGCGTAGAAGGAAGGTATCAATTGAATTAGTATAAGTGATTATCATAAAGAGAAAGGCGTAACCAGTGGGACATCCTCACGGCCCCGGACATTCGCTCCACAAACTGGACCCCACCACATCCATTCGTTATAAACTTTGGTCCCATATTGCATCCAGCTACGCCTCGGAATGATAGTGCTGGTAAACATTCTTAATTATAGTAAAAGAGAAATATATGACTAGATCTTAGGTTACTATTAAATAGAGATTTCAAAGCAACCGTTGGAAGAAGGCTTAAAACTAATTAAGATACAGGATGTAATAAAGTTCAATTAAATTACTAAAATATTTTGACTAGGAGGTAAGAATTTAACTTTGAACACAGATCAAAAACCCTGCAGAAAATACGTAAAAATTATATTTTAATGAAAATTGAATGTGGTTAAATAACCTATTGTTTTTTGTGTGCTTTTATCAATATTATATACTTAACAATATATATTTCTTCACGTATTTAACATGGTACTTTAAAATTTTAAATGCATTAAAACTGTAACTTGCAAGAATATAATTACGCTATTTGTTAAATTTCCTTATAAATAGATGCTTAATTTAAAAAATGTTTGGGATATTTTATAAGATAATTGAATTTGAAACGATACATGTATTTTTTTCATAATCTCAAAGACAAGTTGATGTGATAAATAAAATAAAAAAATGGATTAAATATTCAAATATGAATTCTTAATCTTAACAAACAAATATAAATCAAAGATTTATATAATTTAAATACATACATACTATAAATGTAATATTGTTCACAATTAAGTCTAGTGGTGCTAGGGAAGGTTAAAAAGAGTGTATAAAAAGTTGATACAAAATTATTAAATAGATTTAACAACATACAAAAGCTACCTCGCGACAATATACATTACAATAATTATACTTAAATGTTATTTATTAAACAGGTATAATATAATTATATAATTAATAAAGTATAATTTCCATTAAATTAATGTCAAATTTCAAAAAATCTACTAATTTTTTTATAATCACGCTTATAATTTAAAGAATATTTTGTACGTCAGATAGCTAATGGGTAGTAAAAGTTAAATGTTATAATAATAATGCGACAAATAATCGCTTACAATAAATATTTAAATTAAGCGTAGTTTTTTTCATAATATTGAAGAAGACTAAACAATTTTTGTACTTTTCATAAAAAACGGTTACACTCCAAAAAAGGCTACCTAGAGAGCCTGAAGAGCGAAGATTTCACTTTCCAACAACGACTTTTGACTTCGATATAATTCACACATCTACAAAGTTATATGGCACTTCCAGAACTTTCTCATTCTAAATAAAATCTACTTAATGTAACTAAACAAGGTATATATATGATCATATTCATCAATTTTAGTCACAAAATCTTATTTATGTGCCACAAATTCATCATAATCGAGGCCACATGTACTGATTTTAAGCCACCTTTGCTTCTACAGGCATTTAATCTTTGACAATCATACACAAATTTCCCCTCAAAATCCTTCTCCACTCGCCTACTACGATCAAGGTCTTATTATTCTCTAGTTCTCTAATGTAGTGACTTGCAAGTTGTCTCAAACCTATCAATTATGATTATCATGTTCAAATTAAGTTTATAAATTCTATGTATTAGCGAGTGATCAATACACGTGGAAAGGGGTGCGTGCTATTATGCATAAGGGTGAACTCAAAACGCGACAAAACCATTACTCGAAACCACGTCTCGACACGCGACACGTCACCACAATTAACGAGGTTGTTCAGGTTTTAGTTTTCATTAAAATAATTTCACCTATTATTCCAATGAAAAATTATACTTAAAGTTTTTATAATGGTGTTAACTGATCGCGTTCACACACGCATGAAAAAAAAGAACAAAGACATTTTGATTTTTTTTAAAGATATTATAACAAAGGTATTAGGAAATAAAAATGAAAAAAAATCCGCAACTATAGTCTATGAAAAGACAAAAAATTATTTACTCCAGAATATAACAATTCTACTTTAAATATAAAAGCAAAACAAGAATTAAAACAAAAGAAGAGTAATCTGTACCCACAAAATATTAGATTGTAAGATACCAAAGTAACCATATATTTCCATGACTAGCAATTTATTTAACAATATAATAAGATAAATATAGTAAAAGCACTTGAATGATAAATAAATAATTCTTAAAACTACACTCTTAAAACTATGCTGACGATTCTGAAGTTTTAAAAAATGAAGAACTGTTTGTAATTCATAAATTCAAACCATTGTTACAACGAAGCAACAATAACATGTTTAAAATTTAATTTATTAAAATCCTCTAAGCTATTATCATAAAGCTGTAACAGTATGGAATATTAAAAATGTATGATATATCAAAATTTTTGCAAACGTTTCTATGTAGGTAAAAGAATATCAGGCTAAATGCCTCAAGTATATTCCTACATAGAAATATGTTTTATAAAGCATATAATTCTGTAATATTATATCTATGTATCCTTAAACCTTTTGTATTGTGCATAACCATTTCATGGTGTGTGTTAATGTAAATTGTTAAATGTGTCTGTATTTAAATGTAAGATTGAAGTAAATAATTATAACAAATAATATATAATATGATTTCAAATTAATTGTGAAATCCAATATTAAATAAATACTAAAAATAAACTGATGACGATCCAATTAACACATAAAAAAGAACTCTTGAATTTTAACAGTAAACAAATACATGCAATTAAAAAAAAATTATAATTATAAAAAATTGGATTCCATAAATATTAAATAAATAACAAAGATTATTAAAACATAATCAACAAAAAACCCAGCAGTTGCTGAAACAAATTTGCTATCTAACATTATAGAATTCTCACCAACTACTTTTCAACTTTGTAAAATCGGTGTACAAAATCTGTCAGATTGAATACTTGGCCGGGACCAGTACCCAAGTCCATGTTGATATATTCATCCAAGTTGTGGGTCGAGACTGTAACCAGAGATATGGAAATATACTTGTAATTTCTATGTATGTATGAAACTGCATTCTTAATAGAATGTGATTTTTAAAAACATTCGCAAATAATATTTTGTCTCTACTGTGAATAAACTGAACCCACCTTGTAGTTAGAAATATTAATAATTATTTTGACTTATTCTAAATGTTTGGTATTGTAGAAAATATTCTTGAATAAATATACCAAAAGAAAACAAAGCTATGGAAAAAGGTGTTTTTTTTAATCTATGATATAATTGGTGATGTTAAAATGTTACATACCACTTGTACATATTGCAGGATATGGTGGTGGTGGCTTAATCCAAGAGCCATCAGGCCGTTTCATGTGCCGACGATCAGAAGCAAAGTGTTGTAAAAATTGCTTTGCAGGAACCACACGAAAGAATCTGTGTTAAGGAAATTGAGATCTTACTAATATGATAAATGCGAATGTTTAGATAAACAACTGGATGTTTGTTATAAGGTATCTCCAGAATGTATGCATTGATCTTACTGAAATCTGGGATAGATGAACAGTCTGGAAGCACACATTAGCTACCAAAAATTTTTTTTTATTCCACACAGAGTTGTGGGAGACAGCTAGTTAAGTAATTGTAATATAAACAGAGGTAAAGTAAATCAATTACAACATAAAAATAGTTTCAAAGAAATAATGAAGTAAAGAACCAACCTGTGAAAGTCTGACTTCAGAACTTGGTCAGTGCGGAAAGTTTCCGTGACATATTTATGAAAGAATGTTGGGAATGGTAGCTCCGAATCCAGATCATAGACAAGGCAAGTTTTAGAGTCCCATGAGTACAAAAATATAACATGATAATCCTGCAAATTAAGATAATCATTTACATATAATAAAAAGATTTATTTAAACCAATATTGTTATTCCAATTTCCATAATCCTATACCAAATTATTATTTAGTGTATAAATTTTTATATGATTTATTCAAAAGCTTTTCACATGGATCTATAATAAAACATAGCTCATTTATATTACTTTATCCTCTGATCCACATTCATATCTAGTGACCTGGAAATAATTAGAGTTACTAATACCAAAGACAAAAATAGGATCCAACTGGATAGTATATCACTAATTTAGCTTATGTAAACTTGTACTTAAAATTAAATTGGTTCTACAGTCTTCACTTATTATAATTAATTATATGGTAAATATTTTGGGTCCTTTGTGTGTAGTACAAGCATCATAAAAACAGAAAGGTATTCAAGGGTTAAGATAAATTAATTATACAGATTGTAATTATGCAATGATTTATATCACTTCAGAATTTTTTTAACACCGAATGTTTTAGAAGGCTTTGATCTTTATGAACATAATTAACATAAATAAATAACACTTTTCAATATGAGAATAATCAGAAGGTATACTTGTTTATTTCTACATACCCATATTACGAGGCGATCCTCTTCACGCCCTGCCCTTTGTTTCCACAAAGGCACCGTACGACAAGGGTTTGAAATAAAAACCACATAACACCTGTCCAACTCCCCCGGTATCCTTATTGATACATCTTGACACAGTTTCCACACATTTTCTTCACTATTTCAGAGGCAAAACAAACAAAAGAAGTTAAGTCTCATTAGTCTTGAAAAATGTTACGTAGCAATACAGTAAAATTAAGAATTACATACCAATAACAAGATACATATGAACATTCTGCTTGCTTAGGAAACAATGGTTTGAGTGTTTTATCATTCCTTTTATTACTTTCGTTATTACTTAAATGCTTTTGGGAGCTGACCGACATATTGACAGTTTGCTGGAAAATGAAAACTAGAGGAAAAGCGCTATAGCGCGCTCAACTGGCGCTCTCTATCAAGTTAAACCAAAGTTAAATCTTCAGTCAGTTTCACTAATTGATCTCTATAAATGGATAAGCAATTGCTTGAAAATGAGAGCTGTTGCTTAGTTCAGATTTAAAAGTGCCTGTCGATGTTACTGGTAGTTCATTCCGTCTACACACATTATTAGTTCAAATTCGCACCACCGCTGCAAATCGCTACCATCAGCGCCAAAATGGCGAAAATGAAATAGGCACAAAAACCTACTCATCTAGCCACTCTATTTATAGAGGTCAATGGTTTCAGTCTTTCTTTCAGTTCGTTTGTCTTCCACTGAAACGAAATAAATAGGTAGATAAGCTTTTCTACCAAACGTGATATGATGTGCCCATTTTTTTATCTTGATAAGACTAAGTAACACGTATCGAAAACACTTGTCTGTCTGTAATAAACTTTTGACAGACAAAAACCTTACATTTTTAAACATTTACGTTTCGTAATATCTTTTTTCATGCTAGAGACATCTTATTTTTATGCTAGAAACTATAACTATAAAGTGCTGATATGATAAAGCCGTTGTTGGGTTAGATAACGAATGCCATATCAAAATTATAACAATTACGATTAGTCACATAGCATTAACGAATTTTCCTGGGTGATTTCTTACAATTCGTTTTTAATAATAACAGCCCTCTTCATTATGTTTCGGATACAATTACATTCTTCAATTACCCTCTACTTTTATAAGTTTGTAAGGATTATTTTAGTTTGAGCTAAGAGATATCATTAAACTCTGAGTTAGATTCATTTACAATCTGTGTGTCTATGCGCCTTGGCACTCTATGACTCTATGGTATTTACCTTGTTTATGGTAAAAGTGGTGCAACCAGCTGGTCGTGGCTTTGTTTTAGCCAGTTCTGTTTTAGTTGCTTCCAAAGTTCCTTTCTAAATTGGCAACAAGGAGGGCGGTGCGTTGTCCTAGGTTTCGGCCGGACTAGCGTATCGTCCGGACTTTTGTATAAACATTAAACTAAATTGCGACTCAGTTTTTACTTTTTGCGACAGTGAACATACCATAATGACCCGTGAGTAATGGTTATTAAATACCTACATTGTAACGTTTGTTTGGTTGATTCTCATGGTGTAACAGTTGAAGCATTCGGCTGCTTTTTATTTTCTTTTGTTTATTTGACTATTAAGTACAAGGAATAAAATGTGCTTTCAACATAGAATGTTCGAGACGTGCAAATGAGTATCTATGACAAGAATGACAAGAGTGACGCCTACATTATGTAAACATAAAATTGTTTTTGGTTGTGTGTTTATAAAGTATATTATTTTACTTAAAACTTTTAGAATTCCTGTTCAATTCATACAAGTATTTATATAAATTAAATAGTTTGCATTGAACATTTTGGTGTGTGGCAAAAAATTAGCTTATTGAAACTAATGGATTTCAAGGTTATAAACCATTGAAAATTACTTGCAGGTGGAAACCAGCGAGATTTGGCTCGAGCCAAGAATCAAAAGAAGCAGCAAGAAATACAAAAGAAAAAAACGGCAAGTGAGAAAACAGGAATGTCTCTCTCTGAAAGGAAACATAGGTTGTTTATAAATTTATTATTTTTAACAAAAAGATAATGTCATCGTTGATATAACATATTTATTACTACAAAATAGATTTTATGCAAACATTTTGTAGTGCTGGTCAGCTGCAGGTATTTGCATATTTTAACAAAAATAATTTTATGCAAAAAGAATACATTATTGGTTTCTGGGTTACTCATAGGTATGTCATAATAATGAATAAAAAATTACAGAGATGCTGAATTGATGAGAGAGAAACAAAGAAAAAAAGAAGAACAAGAGGGCCAAGGTGCTAGAAAACAAGCAGTACATTAAGAGTTTGGTCCAATTTATGAACATATTTTGACTGCTGAATTATATGAACAATTTTTGGATACTTGGGTTTGTTTGCCAGAAGTTAAATTGTTCAAGTGATATAGAAGCAATCATTTAAGATAAGTTTCCATTTAAAAAAAAAAAAACTTGGGTTCTACTGTAACAACTTTAATAAATAATCCAATCAATTAATCTGTTTTCTTTGTTAGAATATGCAAAAGTAACTTATTTAAGAAGTTGTAATAACAGTCACATAAAGAAGAAATATGATCTGATTTATTATGAGGGGTGATATGAAATGTAATTAAAAGTTACATTAACATAGCATTTACGAGTCTTCATTTGACTGAATAGATTTATATGTATACTATTCCAACTATCCATTTTTATATAATAAAGACTTGAAAATATCTAAGCCAGTTTTATTCCTAATGATAATAGCCTAGGTGCATTGTTTCTTAATACGGTCTAAAAAAGGCTCGCATTGTTTAAAAATTAAGCTCCAGATATCCTTTAGGTGAGAAAATTATTTGTCCAGCTTTTGCTTGATAACTTATTTTAAAGAAAGTTATACCATGTTTCTTGTTAAAATAATTTTTCCATATAAAAGTGAACTTGTGTGGCCTCTGGAGCAGTATTATTAAAACAAGTTGATTTTAATAACCTACCTTGTTGTTGTTCATTTATAGTGTTTATAGGAACTATCACATCCTGGTGCTTTCAGATGTCTGACCCATGTATTACTTTTTATATCTATTTAAATTAGGATGATAATTTAAGGGCCAAAGAGAACACATACAAAATTTTTTGTTTGTAATGTGTTTGTAATCTTACTGTTATAGATGGATGTAATTTGGCATAGATATAGAACATAGTATGTAGGAACAGGCTACTAATTAAGTTGTTTTTTTTTAATTCTGATTGACGGAGTCGAGAGCGAAAGCTAGTAATTTAATACCATGTTGAGGACCATTGGAGAAGTTAAGTCATATAGAAGAAGTAAAAGAAATACTTAATAATTAATATTTTACTAATTAATGCAAGATTATTAACGTCTTTTTGAGGTATAATTAAGTATAATGAAATTACAATAAGCAGCATTTACATAATACATGTAATGGAATGCTGCATTAATGATAATAGTAATAAATGAAATAGTGTTTTAATTGACAATATGGCATATACTTGTTATACTCAAGCTTCGTCCCATGTGACATATTTAAATTTCTTAAAATATTTCAGAAGTGTAACTTTATGTCACATGGATCGATTTTTGTTCTTTTTAAATACATTTGTGTAAGGAATAGAATTATTCGTGGTTATAGAAATTATCAGTTAAGTAACAAAAAAATATAGCAAATTTGTTATACGCTCCTACATATTAGGATATAAGATGTAAAAAAGATGAGTTAGTGGGTTTATTTTAACTAATAAAGAACAGCATTATAGTAAAAACATTGAGATAAGTTATCACCATCCTGTTTTTATGTGTAGTATATAAAGGTAGGTTTTTTACCATACATAATTCTAAATATAATTACAAAATGTGTGATGACCTACCAATTACAGCCCTGGATTCGTCATTGGTTTGAGTTTAATATAGTAACAAGCACCAAAATGCTTTAATTAGGATTTATATACTCATGAACTTTCATTGAACGAAATTCAAGAACTTTGGCACATAAAAAATCATACACAATACTACTTAATACTTAAATGAAGTGGTATATATACTTGGAATACAGTATAAAATAATTTTTGCAAATATATAAGATTATATTATTGCATATTCATTGCACTGAATAAAGACACACACACAGAATAAAATTGCGCATATACTATTCAAATAGTAAAATTTGTTCAAGAAAATCAGTGATACTTGCAAACCAATTACTTAGTTAACAATATAAGCCAATATAAATGTGGGTACATACTATATTTACTTATTTAATTTAGTTTAGTGTAATAAAGTACATGAATGAAACACCTTCAAGCCAGGATTTTTAAATTTTTGGTTAAGATACACAAGAGTACAAGATTTGTCATATAGAACTTAACTTACGACTCTTTAGGCTTATCAGTTCTACGATTAGTAAATAATACTATATACCCCTTTTATAGCTTCTTAAAAATAAATTATACTTATGTATTGGAACATTTGCAGTGTGAAATAATAAAAAATCTACCAAGGAGATTCCTTGAAAATAAACTAATAAGCGCTAAATAGAATTAAAACAAAACAATTAGAACTTAACAATATAAACACTAATTTGTTTCTAGCCTTGCTAGTAGGTAACAAAATAAAAAAAACATTTTTAATGCTAAACAGGTGATATTAATTATCTAATACTCACACATCGAGATGTATATTCCATGTCCTACTAATCTGTAAACTTAAATGTAGCATTCAGAAAACAACTTGATTAAAATCTTCAAAATTGTGCAAAAAATTATATGAATTTGGGCGCCTACATTTTTTATGAATACTATTTATGAAAATACTCAAAGACAATGCCAATAAGTTCAATTAAGTATTTTAAACTTTCGAGTGATATTATTTACACTAAATATAAACGTCTGACTCTCACACAACTTATCCAGTTCCACACACCCAGCAGAAGAGCCTATGATCGGCTTGAAACTAGAAACTATTATATGATAAATATCTAGTATTGCTAACAACTAGTAGCATGAATATAACTTGTTTACATTTAGTGCATATAAATCCAATATACACTTTCCTTGGCTTTTCCGTTTACAATTTAAAATCAAATAATATATGCAACGATTGTTCAAGTTGTGTGTGAGACACAACATTTTCTGTATAAGCAAACATAACTTAGTTCAGATTTTACATGTGTCTGTAGAAAAATAAATTAGGCATTTCCATTAAGAAGGCATTTCTTCTCAAATTCATCTCTTTGTCTATACAGTTCTATAACTAAATCTTTTATAAATGGGTGATTGAATTTTCCTTCAGTAGCCTTGAAAAATTCCTCCAATTTCTTTGGTGCATTTTCTCGTTTCTCATATTCAAATGCTTGTAAAATCATATCATAACGGTCTAAGTCTTTGGCGAATTTGGCCTCAGGAGAAGTTTGGTTTTCATATTCCTGAAACATTAATCCATAATTTTATTTATATTGAAATATGTATGAATATGGAAAAAGTATGGAAATTTCATCATTGCTTTTACTGGATAACTACTGCCATTTTAAAGCTATTCTGTGCATTATTTTCTATATATTTAAATCAGCATTTATAGCTAGCTATTATTATGTATTTTTACATAAACTAGACACTTTATGAAGATACAAATAAATATTAGATATTTTATAGACAGATTTTGCTATGTTAAATGATTAACACATTTAATGTCACTACAATTTTTTAGATGAAAAAATGAACTTGTAGTGTAAGCAGGTAGCACTGAATGTGTTGAATTGATATTTTTTAATAACATACCTTATATAAGTCGTACATCCTATCACCAGCTATGCCAGTGAGCTCAGCAATTTTTTTCATGGCTTCATCTTCTTGTCTTTTTTTTTCCTCGGGAGATACTCCACAGTGTGGTGTTAAGTCACCAACAATACACTCAGCAAGATCATGAACTAATGCTGGAAAAGTATGAACATACTGTCATAGTACAAGTATTGCATTTATATGGAGGGTGTATAATTTATCTACTTTTATTCTTCACAATATGAAATTAATTCAGTACTTTGAAATAAGTGGAAAAGAAATAATAATTGGAAATTAACATCAATAACCATATTAAATTTTAATCAGATAAAAATTCCCCTTCGCTGGTTACCAAAGCCAGGCATTATCTTTATCAATAGTTAAATAAAGGTAATAAAAGATCAATAAATATTTTACATTTTTTGATCTTTTATTACCTTCAATGTCTGGAATGGAAACACAAAGTCAAAAAGTGGATGGATGGATGAAGCAAAAATTGTAACATTGAAACTAACCTATTTGTAGGCATTTAAAGCGGTCCAATTTAGTAGGATTGTTTTCTTCTGTGAGCAAAAAAGTCATAAGACCCATACGGTACATGTGTCCGGCGATCGATTCACAATCCTCAATATTGCATAGCACCCAACCAGTTCTTTTTACGTGCTAAAATTAAAAATAGAATTTTTGTAAATGAGGATAAACGAACAACAAAATTTCACTTATAAAATCAATTTAACAATAGTAAAATCTCAAACCTTCAAACGCCCAACAAGTTCAAGAAATTCAAGAATTTTTTGATTTTCAATTATTAAGGCCATGATTGTTCCTGATTTAATACAATTTTGTAATAAATCATTCAACGGTTATAGCGTTTTTAATATTACTTTCTGCTACTAAATACAATTGAATTGAATTACATATATGTCATGTCACCAATGTGTAAATTGCTCCTCAGTCGAATGTCACTGTCAATGTCACATCGAACACAGACAGAAAAACTTTTGCTACGTTCCAATTTAAACGCTCCTGTTGAAGCTACTGACACTTAATTCCATCCCTATTATTAAAAGGTATTATTAATATTCATTCTCACCACCTTTAGTAACAGCTACCGTCATCGCCAAAATGGCGCAAAATCATTTGGCACAAAGCAACAGGCTAAGAGCAAATCCATTTATAGAGAACAGTGCTGGTAAACCAGGTTATAGATCATCTATTCACTAATTTCTTCTCACTAATTCTAATTTCTCAATAATACTAATTCTAATCACTGAAACATTACCCCCAGGAGTAAATGATGTCCAAGTACACTCCTCTCACAAAAACATTCTGTATAATTTTAACTCAGTAACGTCGGATTTATCAGAAAAAAAAGTGTTTTTAAATTTGTTGTTGTAATAAAGGTGTTGTCAGAGGGTTTTCTCAAGTTCTCACTTTACACTGATATTCCCCTAAAGCCATGTTCTTAAGAAACATCAAATGCTAATTTAATTTACGAAATTCAAAATTCTTGTTCATATTCCGTTTGGCGTTTGATACGACGGTAAAAATTAGTTTTACACCGATCCAAACGGTACAATAGTAAAAGGTAGAGACAGCGTGATGTAATGCAAAGAATCGTTAGCTAATACTATGCAAAATGTTTTTTTATATCATAAGGTGGCAAACACAATTGCATAGCGTTGCCTACCTTTAATCGACAGAGGAGAGGATGCACAGAAAGAAAATATTTTCTCTTTCCAAGCATCCTCACATCCGGAAAGTCCACTTCCACTTCCCAAACTTTCTTCATAAGAAAAAGGGTGGGAAGGGCAAGAGGACTAAATTAGGCGTCCGGGACGCATACTCATCAGACGAAACGCGGAATTGCTTCCACGTGACGCCTGTTTTCCTCTGGGTCGTGGTATTTCACCGGGCGAGCCGAGCCAATTCGTGCGAAGATGTTAAAGCGGGCCACTGTTAAATGTTCTAATTTACTCTAAAATTGTCAATATTCTCTAGATCTCGTTTTAAATAGCTATTGACATAAGTCTTGTTATCCTTTATAGCATAGATGTATAATAATAATTATATTTGTTAATGATAAGTTGATCGGTTATTATAAAGAACTTCCTGAATCCTGATTTTTAATTTAATGATATTTTGTAACAATCGCTTCATATCCTATTCTTAATATAAATGTTACAATAGACTAAATCACAACCACGGAATATCGGAGACTATTAATTAATTAACGTTCATATTATTAGACTCTCTAAAATAGCTTTGTCTGAATAAATTAAAAATAATAGGAAACTGTCTGATTAATATGATCGATGGATGTAGCGTAAGCACATACAATGAATTACAATGCTCACCAATATACCGCTACACAAATTTAAATTCTATCGCTGGCTGTCGCCAGTGAAAATGTTCAACTCCTCGGTGACGGTACACCAACACGACGTTGTATCAAAATGAGAATTTTAAACTTTGCAAAGTGCCTACAAGTTTGTTTATACTCGGTGAATTTTAGTTTTCGTGTTTGAAGATAAACTTTGTGATGATTTTGCTTTTGCTTCTTGTTTCTTCAGGTTTGTATAACTTAAGATATTACTTAAGTTTTTTTAGTATAAAATTATAGTACTGTAAGCCTTAAATAAAATATCAGAATAATTTTTTTTTTTGAATTCAGATTCTACGTTACATGAAGATCAATTCGCAAAATACACTGATACAATAGTTTGTAATTCTTTCGATATTCGATTCACACACGGTTGAATCTGAGTCCGAAAATGGAGAAATATTGTAGGATCATTTTTTGGACAAAACAAATATAACTCGAATAAATAACACAAAGTAATTAATGAATTTTGGAAAAAATTAACAAGAGCAGTTAGGTCACGTAATCTTTCACTATCAAAAGTAAAAGATACAAACGCTTTCAATTGCGATTTAGTGTCTATTTTTTTTATTGATATGGTCATCCTATAGATTTTTGAAGAACCTTTTACTATGAGCTGCCGTATACAGAACAGAGATGCTCGGTGGTAACTTTCTTTGAATGTTAATTTAAAGATATAAATCTCAGCGGTCCTTTAAAGGCGTAAGACTCTTTCAAGTGTGAATTATAATGTAACACATTTCGTAGCAAACTTATCAAAATGGCTGATATTTAACTTCACAAAGAGAAATGTTGTTGCGCGGGTATCATATTTTTTTGTGGAAATATTTAAAATAGTGAGATTCATTTAATAAAAATTGGTACAAATTTTTATGTGGTCATTCATAAAATTGCAGTTTCATGCAATTGGTTTATGATCCATCGATTTGAGCCGTTTTTACAAGATAATACTGTGTAAAAGCATAAATTAAATTTACCTATTTTATTTATGTCCACTTTATTGTCGTATGACAACAGATGGCGTTGCAGGGCTTCATACCCATGTCCCATATTAAATTAAATATTCGCTGCCAGGACAACATCTGTTTGATTCCGTTCTTAATTTATATTTTTATATTTTATTTTTTTATCTTTAGTCAAGAAAAACTGTGGTAACTATTATAAATAAGTTAGAATTTTCTATATTAAAGGCAAGGAAATTCGGGACTTTATTTTTTTGTCGTCAATCATCGAGAAAGATCTCTATGGTTAATCCACTTCTGGGTTCGTCTCATTTTTAGTGATTACAGATTGTTATCCGCTCTTAAGAAAGGAGTAGGCTCTTTTTATATTATTTAATTTACCAAACCCCAAAGTTGTTTGGTTTATTTGAGCCAATCATTAGCGTAGATTAACCAAACTTAATCAGTTCTAAGGTAACCTTAGTTACTGAATTAGTGTTCTTAGTCTTCCTACTGTTCTTAGTCTCAGCTGGAACTTGCAAATACTGCTAATGAGTATGTCTGTTAGAGTACTAAGCGTTTGAGTCACATGAGTCTTAGTTTGTGCTCATTATGCGATAAACATTGTTACCCGTAGTTCCGGGCTCTGGGTGTATTGTATTCGAGTATATCACGTGCCTTTAAGCCCGTTAACCTTTTTTTGAATCTCATTGCTAATGCATCTGATTGAAAAATATAACAGTTGTTCTAGTTGTGCGATGTGTAATGAAAAGTAAGATTGTAAAAATACTATGTAAAGGATAATATTTGAAATATTCTGCCTTTAGCGGTATTTCCAAATAGTTACGAATGAAAGGCCTTCAAGAAAACGCCGACAAAGTATCTACGGTTACTTTGGTGTTGCTGTCTGTGAACATAGGATCAACTAGCATTAGGCGATCCAAATCTCGTTTGTTCCTTTTAAGAAAAAGTTGTAATTTTTTTTATAACAAAATATTTGTAACTACTTGTTTATTTTTGTTTATTTAACGACATATAATATATAATTTTTTGGTTTATTGTCAAATACAAGATTTTTCTTTTAAAAATAAATAATGTATTGTGACCAAATAAACACAATACCTATGTAAAAAATAACGATTCATCAATGTGACATCCACTTGTTTAACATAACAGTTATTTTAAAACAATGTTAAATATACATAAAAGATTTCACAAGTACAAATTCAAGCCAACACCTATTTGAAGTTTTAACAAATAAATGAAAATGCATTAACATAAACCGTGGTTACTTTATCTTTAAGTCTAACAAGTAAATAGTAAGAGAGACCTTGTGTAAATGTTGATCAAAGTAAGTGCTAATGGTCCTTAAAAGATTAAGTAAATAAATATGACTAGAAGTGGCCCTTCTTTGTAGACGCAACGTGAAAATTTTGCAGAACCTATTTCTGTGCAATGCGGTACAGGTATTTATATAGTCGGATTTTACGGCATGTGTATTTGTGTAAGCATGGTTCGTTTGCATTAAGGTAGGTTTCCACTCCACGCTAGAAATATCTTACTTCTTACTAGTATTATAAATGCGATTGTTTGGCTGGATATATAAGATAGGTATTTGGAACGGCTCAACGGATTTCGATAAAATTTGGCACACATATAGAACATAGTCTGGAAGAACATAGGGTATTAATCAAGTTGTTTTTTAATTCCTTGCAGACGGAGTCGCTGGCGACATCCAGTATTATTATAAATAAGAGTCAATTTTTGTATAAGTGTTTTACCAGAATCACGGATAATTGTAAAGCTTTTTAAGATGCAGGCGTGAGTTAATAGCAAATGTTTTCTCACGGAGTAATCTGAAGGTTATCTGTAGAAATGTACGCTATACTTATTATCACACGTAGGTCGTTTATATTTATGTTTCCGTCACGCACTCATATCGTAACAAGATTGTTGTTTTATATTAATTAGATGGTTACTTTAACACATTTCTTTGTCGTGGAACAGACTTTTCATGATAACAATTATGATATTATTATACAAAAGTTCGTGCTCTTGAATAAGACATGGCGAGCTTTTGTTTTTCAACTTTTTACTTACTTGTAGTATATATTACTTGCCGGACGGTGAAGTACATGAAATAAATATTGTGATTGAAAAACATAATTTTAGCTACATAATATAATATTCTACAAAACCATTATTTAAACACATTTTTTGCCAATAACATTAGCTAAGATGTTATCAATTTGAAGATATTCTTGTATTGTAAATAAAATACAGTCTCAATGCTATAACTTTTATTACCTTTTTACCGCTATAAATATGGTAAAACTAAATAATAAGGTGGGAAAAATGATAGGGTCGCTTGGTCGCGTTATCCACGATGACGTCTCGCGAGTTATAGCCGTCCATTTTTTACGACCTTAGTCATTATTATTGCAAGAACGATGCCGCCGCGCGCATGCTTAGAATATCCCTTACAGAGAGCGAAACTCCACCGAGTCATCTATTACGCTTAGCAACAAGCCCACCGATGTGTCAACCGTTGTTATAGTTTTATACTGCAAGTTAATATTGCACTCGCAAAGACAAAACAATTAGATTCTTTTAGAGGTTTTGTTCTGTACGGCAAAACAGTGACATGCTTCTATATAAATATTACACTTAAACAAGTACGGTCAACGACATAAGTCTATTGTAATATAAATTCTAGATCATTCTAGAAAGCAGATTCAAATTTTCGTCTTCATGTTATTAGACCATACCTGTACCAAAAAACTATTGGGTAATGTTAAAGAACCATGTTCCCTCGAATGTATCCATTTTTAAGAGAACAGACACTATATTAAATTGTTAGTCTTTTCAGTTTCAGGCATAGAATGGGACGCGCCGACACCGTACGACCCGGTATGGTTAGCTAGCGTGCAGACCTTTCCGCCTGCTGGCAAAGTTAATGAAACCAGACTCTGGTTCTGGGGCTGGGTATACGAACAAGATGTTCAATTCAAATTATTTACAAGGTAAATCTTTACGATAAAGGATTTTTAGACAAATAACTGGTAAATCGAAAATTGAACGACGGAACAAATATCTGCTATAGAAAAATAAACTCAGTCGTTTGTCGCAGCTATTAATTTATTGAATAAAAAAAAACTAAAGTTATTTCTCTTCTGTTTTACTGAAGTTGTATTAAGCTTTTTTTTTAATTTCAGGCGGAACCCTTACGAAGGACAAGATATTAAAACAAATGATACCGCATCATTGCGTAATTCTAATTTTAACTTCAAAAACAAGGTAAAGGTACTAACTCATGGATGGCTCAACCATGGCTCGAGTCCAATGCCAGAGTCGATTAAAGAAGGTGATTATTGCCTTAATTTTGTTATGATTTTTATTTAACGGTAGTGTATGGATGGATGGACGGAATAAATGTAAAACCTGGCTATATTCAAAATTACTAGAGACAATTAAATAAAATAAATTAATAAAAATTTGAAAAATGTTCTTAAGATTATGACATTTTCATTTCCTGCATGTTTTTTATTTTCTATTTGTCATTTTAACTCGTGTTATTTTTTGCAGCATATTTAAACATCAGTGATCTGAACATAATAGTTGTCGATTGGGGAAATGCAGCAAATGTTAACTATATACTGGCCAGTTACAACGTTGCTATGGTAGGACGACTATTGACTGAATTCCTCAACTTTCTTATATCGGAGGGAGTGTCAATGGATGATGTGCATCTAATTGGGCACAGTTTAGGTGCGCACGTGGTGGGTATAGCTGGAGCGTATGTGAAGCAAGGACCGATTGATACGATTACAGGTAATTTTTATAACATATTTAATTTAATTAACCATTATTACTTTAATTATGCCCAAAAATTTGTAGGCTCACGTGACCTTGATCACGTTTTTAGCAATTTTTGGGACGCATTCTGTTGCATCCTGAACGGGGTTGCCATTAGTTAACGTTTTATACTTCTACGAGCTAACACTCCATGATACGATGATGATTTTTTATATTTATTATCACATTTTAGTACCTTAGGTATTTTTTTTATTCATCAAGGTCATTTTTTCGTTAGGATTGAAAATAATCACATTTAAATTGTAAGCGATCTTCGTCTAAGTTCCTGAAAATAAAGTGGAAGAGTAAAATATTTTTGTTACAAAATCGCACCAAAGAATGTTTTAGACAAACGTTGACAGAGTTATTACCTGAAACATGATTGGCAGGTACGATCAACTGGTCTTGTCACACAATGACGTCACATTTGATTTGACGTATTTTGTGGTTGCGTTTGCCTCTGCTATTGGCAAATTGAAGTTTCGATTTTGTTATCAACGCGGTTTCAAAAGCCAATTCAACTATCAGGAATGTTTTCCAAAAGGACATGATTCAAACACTTTAAGCTCGTATTCGATTTAATTACTAAAAATTATTCCTCTTTAAAATCTTCTTAACTTAATAAAGATGCATATCATTGTTGTTATAGGTTTGGACCCCGCGCTCCCGCTGTTCACACTGGGTAATAAAGACGCGCGTCTAGATAAGCACGACGCGCGTCACGTGGAGGTGATCCACACGTGCGGCGGCTATCTTGGCTTTGCATCGCCTCTCGGACATATCGACTTCTATCCTAATGGTGGCACTCGACAGCCTGGCTGCAGATTCGATTACAGAGGTAAAGAAAACAACGTCGACTGTACCCCAATAACATTATTGGCAATATTATAGATATCGATTATATGATGACTCGATATGTTATAAATATTTCTGAAGAAAATATACGAATCGATTAGCTTAATTCATTTAAATTTACATTATCACATGTAACGATGAGTTTCAGATGAATTGTCACCTTCAGTAGAAAAAAACAGAAGAAACGCGTATTAAAAGTGCACTAAAGATTGTGGCCCTTTTTGCACGAATTATTAAAAAAAAAACTTTATTTGTAGGTCTATGCGCACACAACAGAGCACACATGTTCTTCTCTGAATCAATTATATCATCTGTGCCGTTCACCGCCGTGCGCTGCAAGGACTACGACGAACTTTATTACAACGGCTCCTGCCAGGGCACCGGCGAGACGCTCATCATGGGCGGCTTTGACATACATTACGGGTGAGTGCATCACCATCGGCATAGTGACTACTGTTCAGTATATCTCTTTCATACATCGTATCTTTCTTACGCTATTCTTCACACAATCCATCCCTACATTCGTCGGACCTCCTCCACCTTTGTAACCATCCATCCATTTTATTTCATTGGTCTCTCATTTACTTAAATGCCCATCATCTCCGGCTATAAAAAGCTAAAAAAGTAATAGCGTAATAAAAATAAAGCAAAAACTTATGTTGCCTTTTTTCTTCTTTCAAAATACACGCAGAATATATTTTTTAAATATTAATATGTTAATGGTTTTCTTTTACTTTAGAATAAACAGGAAAAAAACATCTAAATATGTATTAGCTGAGTTCAAGGCCTTTTTGGTAAAAAAATAAGCCTCAAATTAATATGTTATTAAGTTCTATTTTACTACAACAGATTTATGTGTTATTATTATTTCAATTTTGTTTCAGAAAAGACGGGATATATTATCTTAAGACCAATGCAGAACATCCTTTCGCTATAGTTGACGAAAATAGCTAATAAATAACCAAAAAATATATTTTGTTAATAGGTTATATGTCAAATTATTCAAACTTTCGTGAGACATTATAATAAACTGATAGAAAAACATATACGTGGGTGTTTAGCCGTTTTTATATTTATTTAGGTTATATGTCAATGAGCTTGTGTGTAGCAAAAAAAAAACGTTTGTAAGTATTTATTCCAATGTACATGCTAAAGTTAATATTTTAATTCGTAAGTGTAATTGTTTGCTCAACAATATTGTTAGTAAATTATTTCTTCAGAAGCCTTTAAATGACAAACTTTCCATTTTATAATTTTAAGAAATAAGCTATGTCTTCTTTACCTTCTTGGTTTACATTAAGTTTTAAAAATTAGTAAAAATATTAGTTAATTCGTTTTTACTAATTTGTAAGTTTTACTATTGTTATTAAATATTTAAATTGAGATTGTTTTTTTTTAATAAATTAGACTTAAGGCCTGCTTCACTAATTCCAATTTAAATGTTAAATAACTAACAAATAACTTCCTTAGTAAAATTAATTTGTAAAAACAGAATACAAATTATCAGCAATATTTAGATGAATAGAAAAATGTATAAAATATTGGAAGTTAAAGAGGAATCGGAACAAAAAATTCCGATTGCACCACTTCAATAATATTTTTTTTTGTTTCTTTCATCGAGCATTCAAATTTATTATTCGTATTCTCTGTGAAGAGTAAAATATTCAAATAGAAACCGAGGGTTTTTGTTGCTATATTAGACATTTACGAATAGTAATTTTTTTCACATTTTTTGGTAAAGTTAATTTAACTTGAAAAGTGAACAATAACATTAAAGTATCTCGCGTACTGACATTATAATAATTATTACCAATTATATAAAAAAAACAATAGCAATCAACTTTTCAAGTTGCTAATTTAAGATAAGTAAACGTAAAGTTTATGTTAAATACAATTGACCAGAATTAAATACAAATAGAATTTTACCTTTTTTTTCATCCCTTAGGGTAGGCTCCGAGCCCCTCGGAGGGGACGTATAGTGAGCTGATGATGATGAGAATTTTACCTACATAACCTTAGTATGATACTCGTTAAAATTGAATAAAAATATGTAAATATCATACAATTAAAAATACTTGTTCTCGAATACAAAAAGCGAAATGGAATAAATGCAGGGTGGACAAGCAGTAATTAAATCAAAAGTTCCGCGGCGTTGACAAGCTGTTTCGGTATAGTATAGTAAGTTATAGCACTATTTTACACAATTTATAGCTTAATATGGTATAAATATTTTCTATATTTTAAAATAAATAATAGTTATGACATTGTTTTAATTTTTTTTTAAATGAAGCGAGTTAGTAACAAAGTGTGTACAAGCCTTATTTTATTACACTTGATGAACATATAGAACAATCAGAGTATGTCTGTTAATTGCAATACATTTCAGTTCGAAGGCCAGGTAAACTAAATATTAGCACAAGGGACGAACTCGGCTTGTATTTGAATATTCCAATAATGTTCTATATTTACCAACTGCTCTTTATCAGATGTTCAATAAGCTTAGTCGATAGATTTTCTTTGAAGACACGTTGTTAAGTTATATTGTACACACCTTTTTTATATCAAATGGCAAACATCCGCAATTACAAATTCGTTGCCTACCATTAATCGATGTTAGATAAGATGCACAGTAAGAGAATATGTTCCCTTCCTATACGTCATCTCCGTCATCAAATTCACTTCTCCTTCCTATTCTTTGCTTATAAGAGTGGGAAGGGAAAGATGACTAAAATTAGACCTCCGGCACCCACAACGCTAAGACGAAACACGGAATATCTTCCACTTCACGCTTGTCGTCTGTGTGGTCGTGGTATTGCACCGTTCGAGAAGATCAATTCACGCAACAGACGCTTTTGCTGGCATCTGCCACTGTTAAATGTGAAACCTTTGAAAATTTTTATTACTTAAGCTACTACCAGTCTATTCACAGCTGGCTTTTTAAAATGAGTTCCTGATGAAAAATTGGTTCATAGAAAAAAATTGTACTTCAATATTAATTACGTTAAATATCTTAACCTGGCACTTAAACTTAAGTTAATTGCACTTAATACCGATGTTACTTGAATTCTTAGCACGTTAACTGCTCTAGCGCCTGTTTTCACTCTATCCCATTTAGTTTCCTGCAGCCTGACATTGCTAATTGGATTTCCTTGTTGCAGGAAGTCGCATAAAGTTAGACTTTTACTACTCAACCCTCTAACTTCTATGAGGAGAGTGGAACCACGTTAAATGGTTTTATTTCGTTCCTATTTAAAGTTAAGTTTCAGTTATTGAGTCGGTAATTAGCGTAAAGTCTTTAATTCACTACACTTCTCTAGATATTTTTGCTCCCAGGACTTCTTAACTCTTAAAAGCAAAACTTAAAATCATGGTTGTAAAATGTATACTATTTCTAATGGTAAGATTGTAGATAACTATATATTGAGATGGTTTGGATAAGAAGAATTTGAAGTCCCGTAATATTAAAAAAATATTAATAGTTGGACAGAATATATGACCGAAATATTAGAAAAATATTCTCTATAGTAACGAGTACTAGCTGAAATATCATTTTTGTATGAAAGTTCGATTAATTTGTTACGTAATATATTAAGTACTCTAGCTAGAAGCCTTATCTACATGTATGTTAATTCAAAAAGCGGATGACACTTTGCCTTAATTACTCTCTAAGTAAATTTCGACAGTAACAGTTTCACACGACGAAGTAAATACGATCCGACGTGTAATTAAATTTGTGATTCTATTTACATTTGTTTCAGCTTGTCGTTTGCAAACTAAATTAAAATCTTTTAGTTTTAATAACAAATTACATATCACTACACAAGATTTCTGCAAGTTAATCTTTAGGCGCGTGTACATTTCTAAAGTTTTTTAAATGGTTTAAAAGGGTTCAATTTGTGAGTGTTTTGGCAGTCGTAACCAACGACAATTGAAAGGTTTTAAGCACAAGTTTTTAAATGAGAGTAGAAATGTAGATTGATAACATTAGTATATGTCATAAGAAATTTCTCTTTCATAAATAACAGCTACAAAGTGAACTTCATCGTATTTTACTGTAATTTCGAAGTGTTTTGTACGTTCAAAGGGTTTCGCGACATGTTTCGACGAAGTTGATACAGCTTCCCTTTGACTCAAAGCCTTCATTCAAACACTGGTACTATAATTTGGATTTGACAAAAACCAGAAAAGACTATAAATATTTTCCTTCTGATTTAAGATTTAACCTCTATAATATTTGGAAAATAAAATAATTGCAGATTATGTTACAAAATTATTGTAAACATTGTTTATGTATACTTGACATCATTCTACGTCAATTGTTATGTCTTTTAAGTGCTGACATACACCTGACGAACCTTTGAACCAGCCTGTGTATGGCGAACCTTATATGTAATAAACATTCTCTATATAGCACCACGTAGGATACTTTACGTTTTCAAATCTAAGTTCTTGTGAACTTTACCAATTACAGACTCTTGGAATAAACGTACGTACTTTTGAAATAAAGTTTCTGTTTCTCGCTGATACTACGAGATACATATATATTGTCTACATTTAAAATTAAGTGTTCTGTACAAATGCACCGTGGTTCGTAATATTCAATGATGAACTATATTTTTGAATTCCGCGATTCGTCAGTACAGTAATGTAAGTAACACGACTCATTTTTTTTCCTTCCCGTACAAGAGAGTAGTTAGAAAACAACGCCACGGTGTTAGCGTTACACTGAGTGTTAGCATCGAGAATCGACGGAAAGAGTTGCACCTCGGACGCGTCGGTTCCATATCGTACAGTTTTGCTTACGTTTACGGTTCTACGACAGTCAGAAAGTCTCCGACAACGCGTCTAACGCGGGTACATCATCGCTGGCGCCTAAAGACTATTTGATACCATTGGCACCTGTGAACGCGGCATCAAGTTCGTAAGCATCACTTCATCTATTTACAATATTACGCCACCATATAGCACAAAGAAATAATAAAATCAAATCAATTATCATTCGTATGAATTAAATATTTTTTTATCGTAACCTCTTTAGGATATTCTAAAATTATAATATATTTTGTTTTTCAGTTTATTTTTATTACAAATATCGACCAAAATAAGATTATGATGTATTACGAAGAGATTGAAAGTTCCGAGACTTAGGTAAAAATAAAAAAAACGAACAAGGTCGAGGTGTTTTAGGCTTATGACAAGTCCTTCGCTCAACTTTATTTGAGTTATATTTACTTTTCTACTTTTTTGAAGAATAGTTTCGAAAGCCTTGTTCACACTTATTTTATCGCTTTTTTCGATTGTTTAGTTAGGTTCTATTTATTTTTAACAAAGAGCTAATACTTTAGCGGGCAAAGAAAATAAAATAAATAAATAATGAACAAAGAAATCACTATTTTGTTGGATTTGAGATTGAATTTTTTTATTTATAAGAACAGTGGAATAAAAACATAAAAGGTAAAAGGTAAAACTTGCAGCAGAGACGGAGCCATTCGTCTTTCGTTCACCAGAGACGTATAGTTTTTCGTATCTTTTCGAAACAAAAGAAAGCTGTCGACACAGAAACAAGACAAAAAGTTTCCTAAGCCTTCCTCTCTCAGCGTATATTGACCACGAATTTGACAACCTCTTTTAAAGCTTTTGTTTTCGTCGTTATTTCAGGACGACTGTGTTTTTTTGCAATTCAAATAGAATGGCAAAATAGGATTAGCCTAATCCCACTGAACTTCCCCAAGAAGTAATATATGTCTCAAAATTGCCCTATAAAAATGTTAACATCCTGTGTATACCTATGTACTTTGGTGTACCAACTGTGTACCGACTGTAGTCGGTCCGACAACAATTTTGTTTTACATTATGTTTAAGAAAAAAAGGCTAAGAAATATAATTTTCGCAAATGGTTGATCAATAATTGATGTTTTTAAATATGAGAATCTAAGTAAGAATGTTTTTCTTTATCTTAAGAATGTGTGTAGCACGGAGGGAATATGTTTTTATTTGAGAGAGACTTTGTCAATACAATTCAGGAGAATGTTGCATATCGTATTCAGCACCAGATGTTCGTCCAACATCATTTCTATAAAATATTCTCACATCCTTGGCACTCGAAATTTGTTTATGAAATTCAAGAAAATGTTTTATTCAAATTCGACGTATTCTTCAAGCGTCTGTTTGAAAATTCCTCTACACGAAATTCTGAGTAGACTTCTCGAGAATTTCTCAAATAATAACAGTCCTTGTTTCAATTGAAAGAATTTAGAATAACACTATTTGAACTCCGATGTCTAAGAAACCAAATTTTCTTAACGTTATTTTTGCGAAGTATTGTTTTTATAAGGTTT